GCCCATGACCCCCCCTTTGACTCCCCCCTGCCCTCCCCCTGCCCACTTTGTGCATCCTTTCAGTGATCGACAGCTTGGATTTCCTCAAGAAGGAGAACGCCGGCGCCCGGGACGGCATCCGCTACCTGGAGGCGGAATTTAAAAAGGGAAACCGGTGAGGATGGGGGAGCGATGCCGACAGGGGGCGAACTGCGGAGCGACTCTCGCTGAAGGGCTGGCGGCTCTGCTGCCGGGTTTGCGGCGCTCCTGCAGGGACCTCCGCTCCGTCGGCACCGACCTGCGAGCTGCCGGGTGCTTTGTGGGGTTTGTGGGGCTGAGCGAAGGGCGGAGGAGCCCACGGAGCTGCTGCGGAGCTCTGGCTCTGTTGGTGGGACGCTTGCTTTGAGCTCAGCCACTCTCCTCTTTCCTTAGGTACATCCGTTGCCAGAGGGACGTCGGGAAGAGCTTTGAGAGACACAAATTGAAGAGACAAGATTTGGATGCGTGGTAAATGAGAGGCAGGGGAGGAGCGGTCGTGGGATCACAGGACGGCCGGGTCGGAAGGGAGCCTGAGGATCTCTGAGCTCCATCCCCTGCCCCAGGCAGGGCCACCGAGCTCCAGATCTGCTGCCAGCCCAGCTTGCCCAGGGCCCCATCCCACCTCTCTGCAGAGCTTCCCCCAACATCCCAGCCAAACCTCCCCTCCTTCACCTGAAATCCATTCCCCCCCGTCCCATCGCTCTCTACCTGAGGAAAAAGTCAATTCCCCTCCTGCTGGCGATTGCTTTTTAAGTACTGAAGCTGCAGTGAGGTCGCCCCCAGCCTTCTCTTCTCCTGCCCCACATTCCCTGGGTGTATTGGGAGCCATCTGTGCAGGGAAACCACCTCTCCTCCATCTCTCATCGGTTCCATCTGTGTGGCAGGAACCTCTATAAGATCCTGGACAGCTGCAAGCAGCTGACGGTGTCCCAGAGCAGCGGCGACGACGACACCACAGGGATGGTCACCATCATCACAGGCTTCCAGCTGGAGGATCCCAGCGCGCTCTCAGCGCCCATGCAGGTCAGTCACAGGGCTGTGCTGAGCCCCGGTGCTGCCCAGCAGGGCTGGTTGGCATTGGGGGGCTTGGGTGCTTTGTGCCATCACAGTGCTGGGTCCCCCAAACTCAATTTGGAGCTGGGAGCCCCTCTGGTGCAGGTGGGAGCCCCTACACAAGAAGTGGGGGTCCCTTGGCCGTGCCTGGGAGCCCCTTGGCCGTGCCTGGAGCCCCTTGGCCGTGCCTGGAGCCCCTTGTCTATGGCTGGGAGCCCCTTGGCCGTGCCTGGGAGCCCCGGACCCTTTGCTGTATGCCATCCTGGTGCTGCTTTCTTGCAGTCTGCCATCCAAGCAGCAGCCGGCGCCAGCGTGGAAGTGAAGAACATCCTGGAGTTCTACAAGCAGTGGAAAGAGATGGGCTGATGTTCAGCGGGGCGTCAGGTCGGTGCGGCTGCTGTAGGACGGCTCGGGTTGGCAGGGACCCCAGGAGCATCGCATTGCAGCCCCTCTGCTGCTGCACGGCTCCCACCTCCTCATCTGATGCTCCAGCTGGCCCTGTTCTCTCCCCCCTTCTCACAAGGAAAGGGGCCTGAAACAGCAATAGCTGTTCCATATGCTCCAAAAATCAAACCAGAAAGGAGTAGCAATAATAGTAATAAGGGGGTGGGGGGGAAAAGAGAAAACTCAACCCCTTGGGATCGGCGCACAGCGCAGCCCCAGCCCAGAGTTCTTCCTTTCCCTCCTTTGCTTTATGTCGCTGTGTGGCTTCAAGCAGAGACCCGGGGGGGTTGGAGGGAGAGGAAAGGAGAAGCGACGCGGGGAGCCGGTGCTAGAAGTGCAGTTTTGGGGACAACTCTTTCTTTCCCCCCGGGAGCCTCCAGGAGCAGCGCTGGGCTCTCTGTCCCCGTTCTCACCCCCCCCCCCCCCATCCCCTCATCCCCTCCCTCCCCTCTCGCAGCGTTCAGCCCCGGAGAGCAGAGCGGAGCTGCCGGAGGGGGATGGAGAGCAGCGCGGGATCGGCCGCCGCTTCGGCTCCCAACACAGGGACGGATGGGAGCAGCGGGTGCCTGCAGACGGATCCGCCGCCTCTTTTCTTCTTTTCCTTTCGTTTTTTTTCCTTTTTTTTTTTTTGTTTTTTTTTTTGTCTTTTTTTTTTTTTTTTTTTTTTCTTTCTCGTTTCGTTGTGGCTGAAAATCCTCGCCGTGAGGTTTGCGGAGGGGGGATGATGGATGGAGGAACCCGGAGCCGTCCTCCCTTCTGGCTGCCAGACTACCGTGTTGGGGGAGGGGGGGAGGGCACAGCTCAGACCCCCTCCCCCCCCGGCTCCTCACAGCTCCACGGGGGTCGAGCCGCCGAACGCAGCGCTTGGAGAGAGGCACGGAGCGCTCGGCGTGCGGCGCTGGGGGAGCCGGGGCTCCAGAAGAGCGGCGTCCCACGAAGGATCCCAGAGCTCCAGGAGCCCAAATTCCCCGTGCAAAGGATCC